TCCCACTTTTGTCGAAGATCAGAGATAGAAAGTCCCTGGTAGCATTCGTACCTTTTAGTCAATAAAGATGCAAAAAAAATTGCCCTAACGCATAGCTCAGAAAAGTCGGTAATTCTGTTATTGAAGATTCTTGAATTGCCAGCGAGCCAAATACACCATAAGCCAGCAAGTAAGACTCCCTGACACAAGCATTGGGCATTCTTCATCAGTCCATTCCCATCCAAAAAGGTAGAAAGAAACTCTCCACAGTAGGGGGCACCACCAAACAAGGCAAAACATATTAAAAATATCAGTCCACAGTTTCCAAGCCACCTGACAGTGGAGAAACAAATGTTCATGTGTTTCTCCACCATTAAAACACATCACATGAATATCCGAAGAAAGGAAACAAAAAGGATGGTGGATTTGAAAGAGATTATTGGTGTTGAGCTTTCGATAAGTAGCAATGCAAACAAAGAGCTTCACCTTAGAAGGAACAAAAATGTCTCAAAAACCCTTGGCAATATAATCCTTACGTGCAGAGGGGGAGGTATTGTTGGGAGAGGGCTGTGTAGATGGAGTGGTGAGATGATCAAAAAGGAATTTACAAATCAAAAAATCGGAAGATTCCAATTTCCAAAGTCTACCATTAGGTTGTGAGGATGGAGTAATAGGTGTCAACACGTCCAATAAGGATAACATATCTAGAGTCTCCCCATCAGAGAGGTTAAGGGGAAAGTGGAAGTTTCATGCTGTTTCGTTCCCATTGTGAGTCAAAAATTGAGAAACTGGGGCTTGATGTATAGAGGAAAGGTTGTATAATCTGAGCAATTAGATGGATAATGGTTGACTGTTTAACCATTGATCCTCCCAGATTTTCAGAGCAGAACCATTTCCAACTTGAAAGCATGCACAGGAAGAAAAATAGGGTAAGCTTGTGGTATTGTTTCCAAAGGCTATGGTAACAAGAAACATTATGTTCTAGTATAGACATTCTAAACATCCCCCAAGCTCCCATGGATGTTCCTTGATGCAAATAAGGCAGGATAGAAGAATATTGATCCAATTCAGCTACCTAATGATCCAATTACAAGAGCGAGGTTGAAGAAATTCAAGAACGCATTAAACGGGATAATACAAGACTCGTGGAATGACATTGAAAAAATTCAAGAATGCAACAAGGAAGCATGTATCGGGCTTGGGCTGAATAACATAGATCAAAACTTGGTCACGTTAACTCAAGTGGAAGTTACACCAGCCCAATATGAATTAGTTTGCTTGGATGGGCCATAATTTGGGCTTCTGATGTCCAAATTAGGTAATTCAAAAGTCTAAACTTACCTACACATTTGAGCCTACAACTTTTTTGAAAAACCCAGTTCAAATTTGGATTTTATCAAATAGATAATTGGTTCGTAAATTTCAAAACGAATTCTGACTTAAATACATTGAATCTAATTGTCTTCATTGATTGCATCTAAACTTTTACTTTTCTTATTAAATAGAAACATTTACTTAGTAATATGAAGAGTTGTGACTTTTAAAAATCTTAAAACTTATTTTGCAAGATTGTTCCGACTATAAATAGGTAGTATTTTCTTTTATAAAGACAAACAAGTTAATATATGAATTTGCTTAATGCAAGGTTTCTTAAGAGAAGTTTTTCTCTTGTTCTGATTCTTATTTGAATAAGGGTTCCTACGACCAAAGTTAGTTATTTTGTGAGTAGTTTATTTCAAGGTTCTTTTCAAGGGTTGAATTTGGGTTGCGGACTTATTCCAAAGTTCTCTTTCATGAATTGAATTGGATTAAGAACTTGGTAAATCTGATTTATCTTTCCAAGGAGTTGCTTCCAAGCGTAAAGATATTAGGTCTCGCGTTTAATATACCCCTGGTTTGTATCATTTCTGATCACCCTGTCCCACAAAGTCCAATTTCCTTTGAAATCGCTAAAGCCATATAGCCAATAATGATAGATTTTTTTAATCAAAGATTCTCTATCCCCAGCCCTCTTGAATTCTTAGATTTATAACATACCTTCCAATTAACTAAATGATCCTTGTCATCCTCACCTACCCTAGACCAAAGAAACCTTCTCATGTGTCCCTCAATCCTCTCTACCACCCTAACAGGAATCCTAAACAGAGTTAAATAGTATAATAGAATGCTAGAAAGGCAAGCCTGGATTAAGGTATATCCCCAAGGTGAAAAGATCCCCCTTTCAACTCTCAAGCCTCTTAACTATGTTGCTCTCTACCTTTTCCCAAAAAGAAATACTCTTTGGGTTACCACCAAAGGAAATTCCAAGATAGATAATAGGTTGCTCTAATTTGTAGCAACCAATCTCTCTCACTATCTAATCTCAAAAACCTGGATTAGAGTTAAAACACCAAGAAGAGACTGATTATCATGGTCTAGGAATAGGATTGGTATCATCAATAAATTGGAGATATGAAACTTCTATACATACCTTGCCGACCTTTAAGCCCTTCACGCATCCCCTGCTCTCTGGCTGCAATATCATTCTACTCAGTACATCCACAACTAATGTAAATAGAAAAGGAAAAATGGGTCTCCTTGCCTCAAGCCCCTAGAAGACTTAATACAATCTTGTGGTTTCCTATAAACACAATCACAGTAAACCAACTAGAAGACAAGCATCATCGTATCCACCTTCTCCACCTAGTCCCAAATCCCTTTTTCTTCAAAATTCTACCTAAGAATCTCCAATTCACTTGATCGTAAGCCTAAGAACCAAACCTTTGTCTTTTGTCCTCTTTGTACATTCCACTACTTCATTGGCTACTAAAGAGACATCTAAAATTTGTCAGCCACCCACAAAAGCACTCTAATCACTGGAAATAGTGAGGTGAAGTGTCTCGCTAAATCTAGTAGATAGAAAACACTTTAGTTTCTTGAATCATTACCAAAACCATGTTAGCAGTCCCTAGCATCTCTTTAATCTTCTTCCTTTTAGTCTTGCTTCCTAACACATTAACATTCCAGGAGATTATCTTCATTTATTATTCTCTCCTTCCCTCTTGATTGTTCCCTCCCTATTACATGTTTTCTGGGTCACTTTTCTAATCCCTGGTTCAGTAGCTTTTTTTCCTATGAACATGAGTTTTTGATGATAATACTAATCTTA